AAGCACTGGAGGAGGTATGAGGATGGGAGTGTGAGGGCGTTAGCCAGCAGTCTTATTAGAAAGTGTCACATTGCTTATGTTTAGGATGGGATATGGACCCTAAGCACTGGAGTCCCTTGGAGATAATCATATTTGAGGTTTAGAAAGGTCACTCCCTACCTCACCAGATTTCTGCAGGAATCAGATTATGGCTGAGCATAAAGGCAAAATGACATAGCGGCAATTGGTGAACAATATTTCACAACCCTGTTCCTAAACCTTTCTACCTTGTTTACTTCCCATGCCTGCCTGGCCTCACTCCAGACCCGAAGCCTAGTCTGAGAAAGCACTTGAGAAGCTACATCTCGGGACGGGAAAGGACAGGACGTTGGGGAATCACACTGTGAACCTTGACAGCCCTACGGCTCTGCCTCCATTGGCCCCGGGGGAGCCCGAGTGTGCCAGCTCTCAGGTGAGGCCATCTGTCATCTGGGTCCTCATCCATTCCACAGGGGGCAGCCTTATTGGCCTACTTACAGGAGGTACATCTGCAATTCTGTTTAAACGAATTCTCATCCCTTTAAAACTGTTTTCGTATTGTGGCCTGGAGGCATTCAGGTAATGGGTGCATTTTTAATAAACCAAATAAATAAATAACTGTTTCTCCCTCCCCCTCCCAGGGAATCCAGAGGGATTAGAGTTCTATTGCCGCTTTAAAAACAATACCAGGCGTGGGAGGCAAGACATTCACTGGCTGATGCTTATCATTGTCCTCCGGTTGGATGGGACTCGGCTGTCCCCAAACCCAGAAATGAGATATCCTGGCATTCAGCTGGGCTGGGGATGCCCTTTCCCAGCCCCCTGTGGGTTCACATGCTGGTAGCTAACCCCCTCTAGTGTTGATGAAAACAGATCACTTGTACTTGTGTTATGGGAGCTGCACGGTAGGTCGGTGATCAGTCTACCAGTGGGTTCCCCACCCCACACCCCACTGTCTGCATCTCAGGCCTGCTGTGTAGGCGTCTCCTGTGTTGCGTGTTGTCACCATGTCGGTTTTGCTAAGCTGCCCCTGTTTGCTGTTGCGCCAGGGTCTTCAGCTCTCCTGGTGCCTGCTACGGCTCAGGTTGCATTTGCAGCCGGCCCCCTGCCTGCCACGCCCGTCTCCTGCTCCTGCCATCCTGCTGCCCCACTCTATGACACATGCTCCTTCCCTTGAGATCTGCAACAGTCAACGCTCCAGCAATTTCCACGTGGGATAGCCTCCTGTGTTTTTATTTAGCTTTCTATGGCTATGTAAGCTCACTGAGGGCGAGATGTTGGTTGATGCCTTGCGCATAGCAGGAGCCCCACAGAGCTGACAATGCAGCAGCTTCACTTGAACCATTGTGACAGCAGCATCTTTGATATAAAGTGGCCTCTCTAAACCCTCCACACCCTGGATTATCGACCCTGCCACCCCTAACTATCCAAATCTTTTCTGTAACCTTCCAGAAAATGTTCAGTTACTAGGACAGCCAAACCCTGGAGTTCACACGGCTTAGCACAAAGCTGTTTTCAGTTGTGACAAGCACTCTGCTTAAGTGACAGTCGGACTGTTGTATTCAGTGTTTTGTTCATAACCAGCACTGTTTATGTTGCACCTGTCCAAGCTCTTTCTGAGCACAAGAGAGGAGGCAAGGTCAGCCCTAAGAAACAGCATAGCTCTTGTTGGCTTTCTAGGCTTGGCACTCAGAACAGCCGGGGCCCTTTTCACAGACAGGCCAATGGAGGTAACTGCGCTCTGACTGCATTCTAGAGGTGGTGGATGCCAGGAACTACATCTGGTTTTGGTTATGTGGCAGTCCCAGGCTGTCACCATTACTTACTGGCCCCTGAGATCTCACCCTCTCTGGTTTGCTAATGGATGTAAGACAATTCAATCACAAGAGCAACTCTTTGAAGGGGAGGATTGTCTGAGGTGAGATTTTAGACTTTGGTTTCTAAAGAACCTTAACAGAGTCCTCCTTTTTAGTAAGATGTAGCACAGCCTTCCAGAACTCTCCATTCAAGCCTCTGCCAAAGCTGCCAGTTATAGATATAGAAGCATCGAGCAAGTTCCCTAGTGTATCTGACCTAACGAATATCCCCCTCCTCCTCCTGCCCACGGCCTCTGCTCCTCTTTAACCTCCTCTAATTCCTTCTTGCCCCATCAAACAATGTCCCTCTGGACCCTTCTCTCAGAGAACAGAAGTCAGTAAAAAGGGTGCTGCACAGTCCCACTGCTTGTACAGCCGCCTCAGCTGAATCCCAAAGAAAGCTCAGCGGCTGATGGGGAAGTGATTTATAATCCCAAACACAGTTTCTTTCACTGCTGGTTCCGGTTTCCTGCATCACAAATCGCTTTGCATATTAGCATTACATTGATGACATTCAAAACAGGTGCGCCTGCCTATGGAACAGCTGCCGCGGCCCACTGAAAGCGCCAAGCCGAGACCCCGGGTGCGTGAACCCTCCTTCTGATAAGCTTCAGAGCAGGTAAAATCATCATTAAAGGAAAATTGACTTGTAAGTACGTGCAAGATTCTAGTCAGTGCATCTAACCACAAAGAAAAGCGAGGCGGCAGTGGCCAAGGGAATCGTCTTTAAAAATGTATTCAACAGAACAACAGAGAAGAAATTGCCATCTCAGGAGAGTGGCGTGTCACAGCTCTGAGATGCCAAGAAATCAGACTGTTTGTGTTCTCCTGGATTTGGGGGTTGCCGTCGGGTGTCTCAGTGGCAGGGAGAAGGAGGGGAGAGAGTGCTATTTTAGAAAAGGGGGTGCTATTTTAGGAGGAAGAAAGAGCACATTTTAGCTAACAACGGACTCCAGTATGTCACCCCTCATAATGTTGGATCCTGACGAATAATTGCAAAAGTGTCTTGCAGTGTAACACAATGACCTAAAATATCTGACAATAACAGGCCAGAATTCCAAAGCGGGGTAAAACTTGAGACAGTCCTGGGTGTGACTTCACCATAAAATTCAGGGCCCTGGCCCTCCCTGGTGGTGCAGCGGGTTAAAGCACTGCATTAAGAAGTTAAGCCACTTCCCCATGAGTTCGATCCCCGCCTGCCCTGGAGGTGACCACATGGCGTGACAGACCTCTCCTGACCCGCCCGCTGCTCCCCTCAGCAGTGTACTTCGTCGATCTGCCTGTTCTGCTCCCCACTCTAACTCTGGTGAATCCTCTCACCCTCCACATCTCTGGCCTGTACCCCAGTTCTGTATGAATAAATAAATAAATCTTAAAAAAAAATTCAGGGCCCTACTTCTATCCCTGAACTGCCAATGAGAGTTGACAGCAAGCCAAGTCAAGGTCAATCTTTCTCATGCTCACTCTTGACAATATACACATCACTCATTGTACAGATAAGTAAGCTAAGGGCTGAGTCACTTATTACCTGGCCCAGATCATATAGCCCATTGGAGACAAAGTCAGGATTCGAACCCAAGCTGCCAACTATAAAATTAAAGTATTTAGCCTTCTTTTATTTTTTTTCTCCAGAACAACATGTAACATGCAGTTTATCTCAGGGACATAACAGTGAGAGAACAGAATAGACAAAAACCTTTTACAGGGCTCTCCCTGGTGGCGCAAAGGGTTAAAGCACAGCACTATGAAGCTCTTTGAAACCACTGCAGCACACGTTCCATACTCTGCCAAGGAGCTGACCCACATGGCGTGGGAGACCTCTCCTGACCTGCCTGCTGCTCCCCTCAGCAGTGTATTTCAGTAGATCTGCCTATTCTGCTCCCCACGCTGTCTCTGGCGAATCCTCTCACCCACCACACCTCTGGCCTGCACCCCAGTTCTGTAAGCATAAATAAATAAATCTTAAAAAAAAAAACTTTTGCATAATCCCCTCCTTATGCCATCCTGCATGTAAATAGAAAAATGATATTGCAAAAATGGTGGAAAAAGAATATATCTTCACTTATAAACCAGGCTTTTTTTTTTTTTTAAATTCAACTATTCTATTGAGGTGTAGTTGACAGGCAATGAAAAGCAAATGGGTGTGTGATATATCTGTTGTAGGTTCCCTTTACAGATCACCACTGCTGTGGGCTAGACTGAGTTGCTCACTTATCGTCTCACCTGCTTCACTATCTGGGCATTTCGAAGCCCACAGCAGGGACTGGCATGGGGGCACCTATAGAACACTAGGTCTCTGCAAATAATCTCCAGGTTTAACCCTCTTCCATGAGGTTCCTGAATGCCCTCTCTTCTTCCAAGATTGCAGTGTTAACAGTGGGAAGGATTCAAGGCACACCTGGTCTTGGCCCTTTATCTTACAGATGAGGAAGTTAAGTAAGGCCTAGGAGATGATAAAAGAATGACAACTCACTTCTGCTGTCTGGGGCTGCAAATTTTTATGATAGCATCCTCGTGTCTACACTGCAAAGCTTCATTCTGTTTCTTCCTCTGAATTGTGTGATGGTTGGGGAAGGTGTCACTCCTTTTCTTTCTTTTTTTTTAAGATTTATTTATTCATACAGAACTGGGGTACAGGCTGGAGATGCGGAGGGTGAGAGGATTCACCAGAGGCAGAGTGGGGAGCAGAACACGCAGATCTATGAAGTACACTGCTGAGGGGAGCAACGGGCGGGTCAGGAGAGGTCTGTCACGCCATGTGGTCACCTCCGGGGCAGGCGGGGATCGAACTCATGCAGAAATGGCTTAAGCTTTTTAGTGCTGTGCTTTAACCCGCAGCGCCACCAGGGAGGGCCCGGTGTCACTCCTTTTCAAAAAAGAGCACCTGTGTGTAGCTCTTGAGACTGCCAGCTTGGCACCCTGGGGAGTGATGGAGTAGCTGGAAGCTGGTGGTTTGCAACCTCAGCAAGGTCTCTGTCCCCAGGCTGGACAATAGGAAGGTAGGTTTTAGAAAATGAAGAAGCCATGGGCTCCTCCCATCACCAGGCATTGTAAGAACTGGGGAGAATACAGCTCACAAGGTTAATATTCTGCTTTTGTGTCCTCACTCACCAGGCCGTGGGCACCTGCTTTGTGGGCATCCAGGCACAAAGAAGTATATAGCAGAGAGTCTCAAAGATCTGCTGTGCATGCCAGGAGGCAAGGCACCCCACACGAGAAAGAAAACAGTGAGTTGGGGAAGAGTGCATGGCAGTGAGAGTGAACGGTCACAGGGCGGCTTGGAGCTTCTGGTTATAACAAGGCAGGACGTTAACTTAGGTCATCTGACCAGTGAAAGACAAAGTAGGCCTTAAACCCGGGCCTCCAGGTCCTTGCTTGAGCCTCTTTGCTTCCATCCTCCATGCTGGCCACACCCTCCCTGGTAGGAACCCATGGGAAAACCTGAGTCAGGCCATCAGGTGACAGCCAGCACCTGACAGAGCCTCTGGGAAGCAGACAGGATCCTGCAACGTCCATCCCTCCTTCCACAGACAGCGGGCCCCATCACGTGGCCTACCAAAGCCCACTGGATAGATGGGGGTCGCTGGGGAGCACTGGGGGATTTTAATCAAGAAGCTGAAGTAGATTTGCTTTCCCAATAATCCCCATATTAATTAGTGTCATTTGAAAAATGGCCCAGTGATCGCCTGCTTCTGCAGGAGCCTCGTTTGGCAACCCGCAGGCTGCCAGGCTTCATTCCTGCAGGCTGAGTCTGCCCCGCTGTAGGAAAATGTGATTTTGTTTCAAAACCTTGGGGAGGTCTCAAGGTCTCGCACATAGAGAGGAAAACAAAACACAGAGATGGTCTACCAGGTTCTTCCTCCCCTGGCTTTGGTCCAGCTGCAGTAATTACACAGTTTAAAAGTCATGGTTGAAAATCTTCTTTCTTAGGGGCACCGGCATCACTTCCTCTGACCCACCGAGCCTGGCTTTCCCTTCCTGATGAACTCACACATGTGGGGGCCCCTCCCAGGATGACCCTGTTCCCCCCATTGTAAGGCTTCTCAGGACTCAGCCAGTTCAGTTTCCATCCTTCCCTTGGAATATTTTCCTGACTCCCCTTCCTTCTCCAGGGGCTGTAAGCAGCATTTTGGAACAGTCCCCCCCGCATAAGAAAAGAACAAGAGCAGATCAATTGCAGGGGGGTGAACTGAGGGGAGAAGTTGTGAGACTAATAGCTACATGCACACAATAATACTAACAGAGCTTGCTTAGTAAGGGCCGGTCATGAGGCCCATGCGCACACATTAAACACTTCGCACTAACATTAGTTTTCGCCTTAAATAGGTTCTGTTATTGTTTCTATTAGAGAAATGAGGCAACAGAATCCCAGAGACATTAAATAATCAGCTCAAAGACTACAAGCCTGGGGTTTGACTCCAGATCACAGTCCTGATCCACTCAGCTGCATTTGTCTCTTGGGGTGACGTATCCCCTTCTGAGGATGTCCTTTGTCCTATTTCTGCTCATTCTCTTGATGTGGCCAGGGTCGATTCCTTGGCAGCCCTGGGCAAGATTCAACTATTTAAACCTGTTCCCCTCCCTGGCTCAGGATATCGTCCCTGCGGTCCTCTAGAAGCTGACACAGGACACTGATGCTGCGTCAGAGGCCCCCCCGACACACACCAGAAGCACTTGGGGTGCCATGGGTGTGGGGGTGCAGTTGACCTAATTGTGCTCACAGGGCCACGTAACTCACTACTTTCCCATTTACAGTTCACATAATCTAATGTTTATCTCACTACTAAAAGCAATGTAAAAAAAACATTGCAGTAGAACACCACCAAGTTAACCTAGCCTATAATATTGATGTGAACATGGGCCCCTCCCCAGTAATGCCTCCCGTTTAGTGGAGTGCTTTGGTTTAATGAGTAAGGCCAATTGGAAGTTTCCTTTGTGAATTTCGGATACAGTGGTGAGTCTCATAGGGTGATATCTGGTGACAGGGCTCTCGGCAGAGTCTCTACATTTTGCTCCCTTGTTGAGATAGGTGAGGTGGCGCTTCCATTTCCATCCTGGATGAGCAGAAGGCACGTGGCAGGTGGCTTTGGGGTGAACCGCTTTCCCTTTCATGGCTCGTCTTGTATCCTAAGCTGAAGCCTCTAGCCTCTATACCCCATCCTCATTCTTCCTGGGGGCTCTGGATGAACATCTGTTTATCTCCCTCTCTCCTCTCTCCAAAGCAACTTCCCACTGGCCACCTGAGCTCCGCCTCCCCACCTTGTCAAAGAAGAAAGCTGCAACCAGGTAATTATGACATCCTGGGGGTAATTTTAACTATAAGTCATTATTCTAAAACAACCGATGCAATCCCCGTTTGCCAGCACAAAGAGATGATTCTCACTAGCCTGAACTCACTGTCAAACATGCCAGGAGAAATAAAAAGGTGCTAATGCAATATAGCCCAGAAATAGAAAATAAGATTAGAGGCGACGCTTGAGATTTCAGGCTGCGGGGGGGAAAAATAGCACAAGGTTTAGTTACCAGCAGAACTGTCAGACAAAAAGCCTCCGAGGTCATTAATACCGGAACCTTCATTAAGCCAAGTGGATAAAATTAAAGGGTGTTTGGTGAGGATTTAACTTTTCCTGGAGGTTTGCTGTCTCTGAAGGGCATTTGGGACTGGCGATGAGGCCAAGGCGGCAGCAGGCCCTGGAGTGAGGAAATCAAGATATTGGAGTTCTCTTTCTTTATCATCGTCTCGGGAGCCCCCTGAGGTGGGCTGTGTGAGGAAGGCTCCTTAGCTCCCAGCTCCCAGAATCAGGGGAGTCTCCTGTCCCTCAGCCATGTGCGCTGAAACAGCATGGAGGCTCTATGATCCTACAATCTGCACCAGACTCAGCATGGGTGGGACAGGAGCCTTTGGAGGCCAGGTGAGTTTTAGGGTCAACCCAGGTACCCCAAATGGGCCATAGTGGTAGGAGTGGAAACTAAGAAACAGACCTGGCTCTCTTCCTGCTGGGAAACAGGTGATGGTAGCCCTTAGTGGCTTCTTACCACTGCTTTTTGGGGTTCTCCTTTATCCTTCCTGTACCTCCCTCCCCTCCTGCTAGTGGTATATGATCCAATGATTGCCACAAGAAATCTCATATATAAATTCTCTCTCCATGTTGTCAAATGATTAGAGTTTAAAGGTGTTAAATAAGCCTCCCGGGGATGTTTATAGTTTTAGAAATACAGCTTTTCTTTATTTTTTACTGTGATAAAATGCACATGACAGAAAATTAACTACATCAACCATTTTAAGTGTACAATTCAGTGGATCAAGCCATGACCGCCACACCACCATCCAAAGAGTTGCTTATGTTAGGGGGAATGCGTAAGGACCCACACACAGGAAACCCAGTTGACACTGGGTTGCCCTGTAACTCTTGCCCTTACAAAGTTGAAACTCTGGCGCTTCCCTGGTGGCCTAGGATAAGTCTCAGTGCTATCACTGCTATAGCCTGAGTTCGATCCCCAGCCAGGGAGCTGACCCACATGACGCAGCAGACCTCTCCTGTCTCCACAGCTGCTCCCCTCAGCAGTGTATTTCAGTAGATCCACTGTTCTGCCTCCCACTCTGATGAATACTCTCACCCACTACACCTCTGGCCTACACGCCAGTTCTTCTAAGCAAAAACAAAACAAAACTATTTTTTCTATTGAGGAGGACATCCTCTTTCCTCCAACTATCCCCTCCCCATCGGCCACCTCCCTAGTCCTCCCCGCCCTTTGCTGACAAGGACATTGCCCTTTCAGTCTCTGAAACTACCTCTCCTCTGTATCTCATATAAATTGAATCACACAGTCTGTCTTTGGTTTCTGACTTATTTCACTTAGCACAATGTCCTCTGGGTTCATCAGTGCTATAGTGTGGGTTAGAATTTCTTTCCTTTGGGCCCTCCCTGGTGGTGCAGCGGGTTTAAAGCACAGCACTGCAAGTGAGCCAGTCACTTTTGTGCGACTTCAATCCCTGACCTCAGAAGTGACCCACATGGCACAGTAGAACTCTTCTGATCCACCCGCTGCTCCCCTCAACAGTGTACTTCATCGATCTGCCTGTTCTGCTCCTCACTCTGTCTCTGGTGAATCCTCTTACTGCTCCTGTGCCTCTGGCCTGCATCCCAATCCTGTACGTATAACTAAATAAATATTAAAACACAAAAGAATTTCCTTCCTTTCTAAATTCTGAAAAATATTCCCTTAAATGATTGTGTCTAGGGCCAGCCATACCACCCTGAATGTGCCTGATCTTGTCTAATTTCAGAAGCTAAGCTGGGTCGGTCTAGGTTGGAGCTCAGATGGGAGAAGCATGTTTTAAAGGATGGCTGTGGGCATTGTGTGTGGTTGGTGAGGAAGGGCCTGGCAGCTGCTCCCTGTGAAACTCTGACATACAGCGTGGTGGGGTCGTCTCAGGACTCAGAGTGCTGTCCTGACCTGAATCCTGTAGGTTGGTAACGCATTTCCTTGTGCCTCCTACTTCCCCAGGAAAGACTAGGGTCTGCTCCCAATCCTACACTGTTGATATAGGGTTGAAAATGGTGATGATGCTTTTGAGATAAGTGAAGATACCAGGGGGTCAGTTTCCTAGTGTCACAGTGTGAATGAGCTGTGTTTAGACTCTCAGTGCCCCAGAACCTGTTGGGAACTTTTCAAGTGCCAAATCAATCCAAATCAGGAATCTTCTCTACATTCCTCCAGTAGGGCAGTGCTGAGCTACAGGAGATAGTAAGCCTTGGCTTCGCTTGATGGAGACAAATCTAGGTGGGCTGTGACCTGTGCTGTCAGTGAGCTAGGCATGGCAGGGGAAGGCTTTGGCCACAGTTGATCCACCCCCCAAAGCTAGCGACCACTCAGTTCTCTCCAAGACCTACTCGTGGCATCTGCTCTAGAATCTGAATAGTGTAAATTAAACACTCTTCTGGCACATGAAGAGCCCACAGTCTGACTTTTCCTGTGACCAGGCTTTCAAACCTGGCACCTCAGAGATGGTCCAAAGCCACCTACTCAGAGTGTGATCCCTGCGGCAGGATCAGTCTCAGCTTGGAGCGTGTTAAAATGCAGAGGGTCAGGCTTTCAGAATGAGAATCTGAATTGTAGTTCCCTCCCCAGGTGATTTCTATAGTAAGTCATAGAAGCTCTGGTGTAAAACCTCACATCAGGACTAAAGGAGACAGATGCTGGGGGTCTCTTGGACCTCAGTTAATTTCTCCCATGGAGGGGGGATAATAGAATGTTTGCTGCTTTCCACTGTGGTGCTTGGAAGATCAAATAACACAATAAATGGCAAAGCGCTCTGAAGAATGCACGGTGCTTGGGAAGTGCAGGGTTTCTATGCTCATTGGCAGCGGGTCTGTCCCCACCCCTTTAGCCAGGGAGTCCTCTTCAACTATCCAGCCAAATTAATCTATTTCTTTGCTCCTAAAACCTCTTTGAAACAACATCAATTTTGGTTGTTTTCATCCAAACTGCAAAGAGCATTTGAATTCACATTATTGCCTTGAGTGACATTCTCTTCTTTGCCTCCATTTTTTTGTGACACATTTGCTGTGGTGCCTGGGACCCCGCACAAGGAGATTAGCATGGTGCTCAGCCACTGGCCATGCCTCTGAGGAGCAAAGCTTTCTCTTTATCTCTTAGAAGCAGACGGTTGGATTTTATCCCAGGGGGAATTTATCAGGGTGCCCTGAATTCATTCATTCATTCATTCCCAACTTCCTCCCATCCCCCTTTACACACACACACACACACACACACAGCCACCTGTCAGCCGTGTCACTTTGTTGGCTACATATTTGGGGTGCTGTTTTCCTATGAAGTAATTTTGGGATTGTCTGTAGTTTGGTTTTCTTCACTCTAAGCCCATTCTTGAGCTGGGTTTCTTTACCCACCAGTGACAGCTTGGATTGGCCCATCCTTGCTCTCATATCTGTCCAATGCATGTGGATTTCTTCCAGCCCCTCCAGTCCTTTCATTTGTTTTGGCATTTTCAGAGCAATACCCGTGTTTTCATTTCCTTTCATATAGGTGCCCATGCTAAGATGCCTTGCAGGACTCAGAGAAAGTCATTTCCCATTTGTTCCAAAAGGCTAAAACCTCCAAGAGCCTTTCTGTTTTTTTTTTTTTTAAGGTTTATTCATTTATGTACATAAGAACTGCGGTATATGACAGAGGTGCGGAGTGGGGTGAGAACATTCACCAGAAACAGAGTATAGAGCAGAACAGGCAGATTGATTGAAATACACTGCTGAAGGGAGCAGTGGGCTAGACAAAGGAAGTGTGCTGGGCCAGGTGGGTCACCTCCCTGGCCAGGGATCAAACTCGTGCTGCTGTAGCTGGTGATAGCTTGACAGTGCTGTCTTTAACCCCTGCACCACCAGGGAGGCCCCCTTTCTGTCTTTTTAAGCAGGATGTGAGCATGTAATTACATAAGCACAGCCTATACCATGCCAACACTGTGAATGTGAGTTTAAGTGATTGATTAATGCCATAATTGATTTCTATTTTTGTTGCCATGAATGGTTACATACTGAATGAACAGGTATAAACTTTCATTCACCTGTATTTATTCCTTTACGTTTTCACTAACTTGGTGCCTCTTAAGCACGGACTGTCTAGGAGGCAGTAGCCTGCGTGTTGTTGACAAACAGCTGTGTATGTGCGTGAAGACATTGTCTTGGTTTTCAAGGACTTTCTGTTTTCTAACAGAGATGAGATACTATCATGCAACTTTAATACAAAGTTGAAAGTGATAAGGATCATGGAAAAAGAAAAAAAAACAGATAAATGAGGTGAGAGGAATATAACCTCACTGGAGAACAGGAAAGGTTGTCAGGAGATGGCATTTGCATGAGGGATCTGCATAGTGGAAGTGGGCACTGCAGCCAGACTAGTGAGCCTGGGAACAAGACACGGAGGTGGAAACGCTGGCATGAGTTGAAAGTTGAATCAGGCTGAACTGCCCAGGGCAGGCAGTAAGGCTGTGGCCAATTGTGTTAGACTTTGGGGGGCTGGGGATGCAGATTAAGGAGTTTATTCATGGACTGAGGGAATTAGGAGACATGGACTATCTGTAGACAGGTAAGTGAGATGATCAGCACAGTGCTTTGGGAAGAGCATGTTGGCAGGGATTTATAAGATGAATTAGAGATGTGCAAGACTAGAGGCAGCAAAAGCAGTTAAGAGGCTATTACAGTCACCCCGAGGTAGATGACGAGTGTCTGAGCAGGGTGGGGGCAGAGAGAGCTAAAGGAAAGTCATGGAGACAACACTGACAAGGCTCGGGAATGAATCAGCTGCAGAGGGAAGGGGGAGGAGGTTCAGGGCTTGGGGGTTAGCTGATGGAGGTGTCCTAACAGGCACAGGGGATCCTCCCTGTGAATGCATTTTAATTTCTGCTGCGGTATAGGAGTGGGAGATGCTATAGGGTCTAAGTATCTATGGGAACATCTAGATGGAGAAGTAGGGCATTTGGAAGTGGTTCTTGGGACTAATTTCAGCACAGAAGCCAAATTTGATAAACATTCTGATATATGTGAGACTTGAAAGCTTATACAACAATGCAGTTGTTATGAATGAACATACAGGGAAAGGATTAAGGGCTTATGGAGGTAGAGAGAAAAGAGAAAGGAGAACAAGGAAGCAGACATATATCTGTGTGTCTGTAAATGGCATGACCACGCATGCATGCACTTTAAATGAAATTACACACACATCCAGATGATGGGAACATTCAGCTCCCCATAGTTTGAGAAGCAGAGTGTTTTAGCAGCCCAGGGAAGAGGGGTGATCAATAATGAAAGAGCAAAAGAGCAAAGCGCAGGTCTAGATAAATAACTGGTTATGCAGGTGAAAGTGATGGGCTTGTGTGAGTGTGAGTGCATGTGTACCTGTGGCTACCCCAGAGTGTTCTATAAGCAGGACACAGGGAAGAAGTGGGTGAAATTGCTAATGGGGAGGTAGCTGTAAGTGGTATCATCATCTATCAGAACAGATGTATATCCAACTGAAAATTTTCTTGATTGTTCTGTTGATTCCTCAAACCCTTAGCCTGGGTTCCGAACCTTGATTAGATTCTGTCTGGTGTACTCAGCTAATTTTGTTTCATTTTAGGCTTCTAGTTTTTTTATTAGGTACAGAATTGTCAGGTCTCATGCTTTGTTCCAGTTCTCATCTCATGTCAATGAGAGCCTTTCAGTAATTAGGCTCTTGATTATAAAATTCACTTTGAATAGAAAACTGGTCAGAATACTTAGCTTGTTCCAGCCTATAAACTGAATGGTGGGGATGGTGTTCAATTGCCAGCTTGAATTATTCCCTTTACGGAGGAGTGGCTGTGTTCCACTTAGTTTTCTGGGTTAGAAATCTCCTTACCTAAATGTAGTCAAATACACACCACACTGAATGTGAAGAGGATCTATTTTGGGACCAAAAACCAAGACAAAGGATCATTACAAGCAACAGATAAGATAATGGACTTAAATCTCAATAATCTCCCATCATTTTTCTTCTATTATATTCCACCTGATTCCACTTTTTTCATATTCTCATTTTCTTAAAGTTTAGTTAACATTATACTCTCAGAGCCAAATCCCAGGGTGGGTTGGCACAGGGGATGAAACTCCAGTCACTGTTTAAATGCCATAGCTACAAAGATGATAAGGAAAGGAAAGCAGGTGAGACGAAATGGCCTACATATTGGTCATCATAATTATTCTTTTCATTTAACAGCATCTAGCTGAGCTCACACCCCTCTGTGAGTCTTTTTCTTCCCCCCTTCCTCCCACATTCCCTTCTTTTTTTTATTCTCTCTTTAATTATAAGACAGCAAGTAAAAGATTCTGATCCTGAAATCTCATTCCAGGTCATAGAAAAACTAAATTCAAAGAACCTTCCTTTTTTTCTTTTTCCTTTCAGGGACTTTTTCATGAATTCTTAACTGATTTCCCTCGTGGCATGCCAAAGTCACATGGTAAATGTGTGTGTGTGTAAATGTGTGTGTGTGTGTGTGTGTGTGTAGGAGATGAACACAGGCTTTCTTTATAAGGTATGGAGCAGGTACAGGATTTCACAGCCGGCTGAATAGTAATGGAATTCTTCTATCAAAAGCTACTTTTCTGGATCTTTCAGATTATGAGACTGAAATGATGCTCACTGCACCAAGAAGGCATCCTGGATCCTGAGCTGAGGAGCAAATGCAAATCCTACGCTGCGTGTCAGCATGTGGAAACTCAGCCACACGAGAGTCTCCATCTAGAGAGAGCTCTAGATGGCACATGCATGCATGTGCGCATGCACACACACTATTCCTATTAAAATCCACCCACATCCATGTGTTTGAGAGATTCACATGACGTAGCTGAAAGTCCTTCCCTTTTCAGGTTTAAAAACTAGTCAGACAGCAGCTGTTTAACAAGACGAAAGGAGTATTTAAGGGACCACTAAAAGGGGAGAGTTAGATGTCTAGGTTCTCTCCACAGGGGAGAAGGGGTCCCATCAGCCAAAAGTGGACTGCCTTCCTGCCTCCCTCTTTATCTCTCCAGGGGTGGGAGTGTTATATAAGTCCAGTGCTTGTTTTCCTCTGGGCCAGGAATGGGCTTTCTTCCATGACTATATCCTGACCCCTTCTCCAACATTATTCTTTTTTTATTTTAAAGATTCATTTATTTATGCATACAGAACTGGGGTACAGGCCAGAGGTGCGGGGGTGGTGAGAGGCTTCACCAGAGACAGAGTGGGAAGCAGAACAGGCCTACTGATGAAGTACACTACTGAGGGTAGCAGTGGGCAGGTCAGGAGAGGTCTGCTGCACCATGTGGGTCACCTCTGTGGCAGGTGGGGATCGAACTCATGTTGAAGTGGCTTTAGCTTCTTAGTGTTTTGCTTTACCCTGCTGTGCCACCAGGGAGGGCCACCAATATCATTCTTTTAACAATTAAACTCCAGCAGTGACTCTGTAATAATTTGGTTGTGTGGTTATTTGCATCACCACCTGCCCTCCTTGATAAGGTGAAGTGCCAGAAGTTAGGCCCTGGCAGCGGTGTGACAGGCTCTGTGTGCTCAGAGGTGAGAGCTAATGCAGCCCTTTTCCTTTCCAGGCAGCACAGGGCTGAAGCTTCTGACCCAACCTTCTCCTGGCCTTCCACTCCCTTCCTCCGGCTGGGTCCAACCTGCCTGCAGGGCCCCAGCGCCTACACAGGCCAGTGAGTGAACAGTGTACCGAAGCTCACGGCCAGACATAGCTTCTCATTCTGTCTTCAACCAGCCAAAAGTGGACTGCCTTCCTGCCTCCCTCTTTAGCTCTCCAGGGGTGGAAAACATGACACCTCCATTCTAGGTCTCATGCGCAGGCCCCTGCATGTAGAAATTAAGTACACAGGGGATTCCATTTGTATCGGGGACACATACTTCTCACAGACACTCAGCTCAGGGATTTCCAGAAGACAGAGCCGCCCACACTGCCCTGTCCTTTTCTCCTGTTACTTTCCCTTATCTCATCCTCCTTCCTTTCCCAGGATGGAAAGGATTGGGCTCTGGAAGGATGGGAAATTAAAGGACCACTTGCTCACACAATCATTCATCCTGAGTATGGGCTTCCATCTTGCAAGGTCAGTGGAAGGAAAATGTGCTTTGGTGCAACAAACCAAACTTCTGTCTAGTGGCTGCCAGGTTGGGATCTCAAATGTTTCCGTGATCGAGAGTCTTCTCCGTACTTTTATATAACTCTTTTCTTCCTAGACCTCAGCACAGTACCTGTTGCTCCCAGCAATGCCAGAATCAAATGACTCACTGTTGTTATGTGTCCTATTTGGGAAAATCACTCATTCATGGAAGGACAGAATCTTGATGGTGAGATGTCACTTCCATTTTTAGTGAGGTGAAAATAGGTTCAGTGAATGAGGCAGCACCAAACTATGATTCACATGGCCAATCCCATGAACAGTGCATTATAAACACTGCACATGACAGTGGTGTTGTGAACAGTGTTTGGTACTGGCAGGTTAATTGTTAAGCACTGGAAGGACTGACCTGTGGAAGAGACCAATTTACCCTCTGGCCCAAGAGAGCCACAGAGGAGGACACTTTCAATGCAACAGATTTAGCTTCAGTGTGAGGAAGCATTTCTAATCGTCAGAACTGCCCAGAGACGGGATGTTGGGAGAGTGCCCGTTAGGGGAAGTATTTAAGCAGGCTACGTGCTGGTTGATGGGCACTGGTGGAGGGCTGGGCACAGGCTTCTTACAAGACTTTGTTTCAGGACTGGGAATCTAAGTAAAATGGATACCAAGCATTTGCTCTAGAGGCCACGCCTGCCATGGCCCTCTGGGATCATCAGTCTCCGGCCAAAAGGTGCCCCAAACCTGGGATTTTCATTCCCTGTCAGTACAGCTTCATGAGCATCTTGTACCTGGAGCCAGGATTCTGATCTATTCTGAGGACCCACAGAAGAAGTTAGCTAGATATCTGGACCCAAACTTAGTGAAGCAAAGGTGAGACCTGAGCCAGCAGGCGGCAAATCCTCACCTTCCATTAGCTCCACATTCCAAAGTGAGAGATCAATGTGCTCAGCTGCAATTTAAAGCAATTAGTCTTTGTTCCTCACATTCTCAAAGAATGACTTAAAGAAGCTCAAATAAACATTTTCAGAAAAGAGAGCAAATTTGTATTACTTAACCCAAGGAATGCAAACAAGTGTAATTAAAGTGAATACCCATAAATAAAGTAAATACATTACTTAGGAAATGAATTAATTAGTGCTTAATTACTATCAATTACTAAAATCACTACAGAATTACTTGTAGAATGGATTGAATCTCTTGCTCCTATTAATAATTTCCATTGCTAATTGTATGCAATTGTATTTTCTTTTCTTTGGGTGCATCTTAGCAGAGCTAATAGGAGGAGGAAACAGCACAGTGAACAATGACAGCAACATTTTTTTTTCTTGGTTCAGTAAAATACAAAGGGGTTTGAGAAACATCTGCCTAGTTGTCAAAAGCCAAAGTGGGTGTAGAAGGTGCAGAGGCTGTCCCATGGCACAGAGTGAGTGTCCATGCTGGTGAGGAGCCCCAGATCACTCAAGGAGGCCCGTGTCCATGTGTGTACATGTGTGTGTGTGTGCACACAGGCACATGTGTATGTAGAGGTGAGAAAGGTAGGTGCTGGGGGAGTCAACGTCTGATATCACTTCTGTTTTGCTTTGAAGCACCACACGTGGGCAAAGGTTATCTCAGGGTATCTCACACTGGGCTTGTCAGGTGAAGGAATAGGTTTGATCTTCACCTGCTGGACAGAGTACCCTATCCACTGCCTTCCAGGTAGGCAGAACAGGTCTGATGCCATGCTGCCCAACAAGCACCACATACATAGTGAGTGGGGTTCACATGCCCATAAATGAGAGGTGGACGGTAGAGAGTGCACCTTTCAATGGGGCCCTTAGAGACCACCAAAGACATTCTCAATTTCCTATCTTCACAGCATCCTCAGTCCCCCTTACCTGCCCTGTCCTTCTCTGTCTTCCCAGAGCACAATGTGTGGGCAAGGGCATCAATTCTCAAGTCAGACAGCCTGGGTGTGAGTCTGTGACCTTGGGCCAACTACTAATTGCTACATGCCTCAGTTTCCTCATCCGCAGATGGGGAAGAATAACAGAACTGACCTCTGAGGATTATTGGGGAGCTTAGGTGAGGAACTGACATGCAGTGACCTCTATCAAGATTAGTTTTTATTATGACTGCTTTCACCGGTTTCTTTGCAGAATCAAAAGCTTAGTGGGAAGCATACCATGTAGAGGTGAAAATGACATGGTAAAGTTGGAGAAGTGACTTGGGAGGGTGCAGAAGGTGGAGAGACTCAGGGTTGGTCCACAGGGCCCCTCTGCTTGCAGAGAGGCAGCATGGACTGTTGCAGGAAGGACCATGTACCCTGACTCTGTGCCACCCATTTGAACCCTTGGCAGGACTGTGGCTTTTCCTCTCCAGAAGAGTTATGGTCTTCTGAGACACTCTGTGCCACAGTCTCCACCATCATGTAGAATGGGGTGTGCATCCTGGTGGTGCGCCCAGGGGGGAATGATGCCTTCTCCAGTCCAGGCAATGTTCATTAAATGACTGGTAAATGCAAGGCTGAAGAAGACACAGGCTGCCTGGAGAAGCTTAACCTTTTGGGCATTGTATCACCACTAGACACTCCTGCCTGAGATAAAAAGACAGAGTGGCCCCAGATACTAGGAAATATTAACCCAGAAGTCTCTTTGTCCCAGACAACTATGATCTTGGTTTACAAATGGGTACAACTATGAGTCTGAACGTCCATATTGAAGCTGACCTGGACAAAATAGCCAAGGGATCGAGTGGAGTCGATCTCTGGAATGTCTTTTGTGTTTCATATTTTAGTCCTTATTATTAGCTTATTCATCCAACTACACATCCACTCCCCAAACCAACCAACAGCCCATCAATCCATCCATTCATCCACCCACACACTCAGGCATCCATCCAACTAGCCAGCCTCCATCCATCCATCCACCTGCTCATCCATTGATCCACCCACCCATTCTCCTATCACCCAGTGTTCATGAGGTACTGAGGTTTTAGCAGTAAACAAGACACATACCCTGTCTTTAGAGTGCTAAAATCGGGTGAGAAGTACACTGCATAGATCTTCTATTCAGAAGAGGTTAAATAGTTGTGAGGAGAAAGTTTGGGGAGGTTTCCAAGAGGAATATACCCGTAAGTAGAGATCTGGGAATAGTTGTGTGAAAGGGGGTCTGGTGAGTACTTCTACTCACTAGGAAAGGAAACCAATAGACAAATGAGTTGCCCAAGACTACATGAGACAGGGGTGATTAATGTCAGAATTAAAACTCGAATCAGGGTTGATGTTACTCTAAGGACATTAATGCTTCAATCACATCCTGTTCTCTTTCTATCACCCCTTGAAGCAAAAATTTCCTATTCTTTATGTTCCTTTTCCCCAAACGCTTGCTCTAACTTTTAGCAAAGGGAGAGATGCACAGACTCCCATGGTTTGGCTACTGACTTCAACATAAGGAGTGTGTAACTCTGGATGTACTGTGAGCCTTTCTGGACGTAAAATGTAATACCTGCTTCGGGGTTGGGGGGGGTTTTTTTAAAAAAAAAAAGTAGGATGGAAGAAAGATAGTGTTTGTAGAGAGCGTAGCATAGTGGCTGGCATATAGT